ACATACAGTCAGTCCCTATGACACACAGTCAGCCCCTATGACACACAGTCAGCCTCTATGACACACAGTCGGCCCCTATGCCACCCTCCTGGCTTCTAGACCTACTTTGTCCTCAGTGCATGCTTGACCACCAGCAACAAACAATAAAACAGTGACAGTCACTCTTGTCACACTAAACCACAGTTTAAAGCACGGGTATGTTGGGGAGCAGGACGACTGGGGGATTCTTCTCTTTTGTAGCACCTCACAAAGGCAGGTGCACAGAAACCCCGAAACAGTTGCCCCACAGACCTGATGTAGTACTAATCTCTGGGAAGAAGAGAGCCACCACAGACCGAACAGCAATAACCGCCCAAGCGGCAGGTGCCCCAGGAAAGTGCTGCAGTCGCTCCCGGAAGGACAAGACCTGGAAGTGCACTCCGAACACTCAGATTAAGGGACTGTCAGCTGTAGGGCCCATGGCGCAATCTGGGGTGTCCAAGCAGGCCTAGTTGCGTGGGTTCACAGGATAAAGGGGAAGGGGTGAGGATGGGACAGAGAAGAAACAACAGTGGGTAAACAGCTGTCCTCCTTTCTATTGGCTCCGAGTCACTGGCCACAGCAGGCCTTTCTATTTCCTGGAAACAGCCCTAACCCTCATCTTCTCTCCCTCCCTTGTGCGAGAGGGGCAATGGAGGCTCCAGGGAACAAGGGCCACACCCAGGTGGAATGGGCAGCGCCTGGGGCTCAAAGTCCAGGGGCAGCCCTTCCGTTTCACAGGCAGCAAGATCATCCACGGAAGGCCTTGGCGGCTGGCTCCTGGGTCTCACTGGGTCTCACCGCCCTCTCTCTGGGTCAGTAGGCCCCAGGGCTCTCCAGCCTATGGAAATTCCGAGAAGCAGGGAGAAGAAGGGGGAGGATGGGCTGCCCAGTCCACAGCCCTGGCATTAGGGTGCCAAACACTTGGAAGGATGCCAGACATCTGGCGCTTTGGTTCTTTGCCATCTCCCCAGCCAAGATTCAGATCTATGGATCCTGGACTCTTTCTACCCTAGTTGTCCCATGCTTTAGATTACCCAGAACCGGGGCGGCATTATTTTGTTGAAAAATCAAAGTTGCCCTGCAAGGCATGCATTTTCATAAGTGGATTTCTAAAGACTAAATGCAGACAGTGTGGACTTAGTCTGGCTGCATGCCACTTCCGCAGCCTATGTGATGAATCCACGGCAGCATGCTTATTCCTTCACAGAGTGCAGGAAAACACACAAGCCCAGGTATATCAGCAGGGCCCCTCGGGAGCCAGACAGTAGGGAAGTAATTTAGGGGGGAAATGTGTACAGAGAGTCTGAGGCAGCTTGTAGAGAAGCCCTGTAAGATGGTAACCCTCAGGCATACACCAGAGCCCTGGAACAAGCCTGTGACAACAGTAATAACATTTGTAATAACACTTATCATTGCTTGTTCCTATGTGTTGTGCACGAATCTCATGCTACCTACGGCTATACTGGGGGATTCAATCGGTGGAAAACCACCCTCACCCCAAGGGAGCTCAGACAGCTGCCGTGAGGGTGATCTCTTTCCCTCTGCTAGTTCTCTGATGGGCACTTTTGACCCTCTAATGTCAACATTCCAATTCAAGTCTTGGGCAGCTGTAGGCTGCTTCTGCCCACCACTGATAGGAACTGTCTACATTAAAGAGTAGCCAGCCCCTGACAGCCACCAATAAATGAGCCAAGATTCTGGAGGAATGTCCCCAGGAATGACTGTGTCTGGCCCAGGAGGCAAAACCGTTAGCTGGTGGCTAGACTCCTGCGGGTTGGGTGAGAAAGGTCTCTCAGTTCGTAAAAACACAGAATGTTAAAAGTCCGAAATGAAACCAATACTGTTGCTGTCTTTGTAGAGTAGCATGTCCTGCATACCTTCAGAAAGCCCACATGCCCCATGTCTGCTGCATAAGTGCTCTTCAACTGCTCATTTGCATGTGTATTTTTCTAAGGAGTGTGTCCTGAGGGAGTAAGGGAATGGAGTGAAAATAGCATCGCATAGCTGTTGACAGCATGGTGGCCACGTTAAGCACAGGGTGTCCAGAGAATTACTGCACTGTCACATGTTGCTGTCACTAAAGACTTTTCCAGGCGGCATGTCACTACAGGTAAGGACATGGATCGGAGGCTGGGGACTGTCAAGTGAGCTCTTATTGGCAGCAGGGCCTGGTTAGAATCAAGTTGCCTGACTCCAAAGACCGAAATTACAAAGGAAGCACAAAGCTTTCTTGTAAAGTTGTGACAGTCTTCAAACACACCGCATGACTCCTTTCAGCTAGGATTTGGGACTCCTGACATTTTCTTTCTTTTTCTTCTCCTCCCCGCAAGTTCAATCAGAGCAAGTTTTAGAAAATGTGTCCCAAGTGGGATGGTAGTTACTTTTCTATTGCTGTGAAGCGACATCATGACCAAGGCAACTGATAAAGTATTTAATTGGGGCCTTGCTTACAGTTTCAGAGAATGATCATGTGACCAGCACGGTGGGAGGAGCATGGCAGCAGTCAGGCAGGCATGGTGCTGGAGCAGCAGCTGAGAGTTGCAGCCACAACCCCTAGAGAGAGCAAGAGTACCTGGGAATAGAGTGGACTTCTGGACCTCAAAGCCCACCCCCAGTGCCACACCTCCTCCAACAAGGCCACACCTCCTCCAACAAGGCCACGCCTCCTCCAACAAGGCCACACCTCCTAACCCTTCCCAAACAGTTCCACCAACTGGGGCCAAACATGCAAATATGTGAGCCTGTGAGAGTCTTTCTTTGTAGCCTATCAGACGCTTGAAGACAGCCCAGTTGGCAGGCCCCAGATGAGCATCACATCCAGAACTGTCTTTCAGCCTGCACAGCTTGACTGTACAGATTCAAACACCTGTACTGATCCAAAGCAGCCATCGCCTAAAGCTACCGAGTCTGGCCAGCAGGTGTCCCAGATGTAGGAATGCCACAGATTTTCCATTAGCTTCCTGAAGCTCTGGTGAGTTGATCCGTGCCCAGGTTCATCATTCTAACTGGCCAATGCCAATTCCAGACCTAGCAGGTCTGGCTAACACAGTGCTTCAGCTTGGGATGCTCAAATTGTTCCCTTGTGTTAGGGAGGATCTGAAGCTGCAAGCAATTAGCACCAACTCTGCGAGACTAGGGAGAGATGATCAAGAGAACAGACGCTCACAACGACTATTTCTGTCCACATGGAAAGATGATGTGCTGTGTGCATGGAAAAAAAACTTCAGATATGTTCTTAAAGCTTATGTTTCAAATTGGAGTTTTAAATATTATTCTAGGAAAAGCAATATAGTCCCTTTCACATCAGAAGGAGAGCTGTATATAAACTAAAAACCTGTTGGAATCTTCACGGAAGAATTAACACGGTAAATGAATTTGTGTATTAGTACAAATTTATCGAACTGAATGAATCACAACTTTAATCAGTTATAGAATCTCAGTACTCAAAGGGACCTTGGAAATCATCTGTCCTGAGAGTAAGAATCATGGAAAACAAACAGGCAGTCAAGAAAACCCCTCTCAACTAGAGAATAAAGAAACCAGGAGCGGGGAGGCAGCATGTAGGCTAAAGTCCCTGCCTGGGTTCAAAGCTCTGCTTTGCTTTTTTGGTGGCAGCATAACCCAGGGTGACAGATGGACGAGCTACTTTCCTCATTGCTGTGACTAGACAGACACCTAACATGAAGCTTTGTTTGGGTTCATGTTTTAAGGGGGCACTACTGCATCTGTCACGGTGGAAGGGCGTGGCGGTGGGGGAGTGAGGTGACTGGAGTCATTGTGTCTACAGTCAGGAAGCAGAGAGAGAGAGAGAGAGAGAGAGAGAGAGAGAGAGAGAGAGAGAGAGAGAGAGAGAGAGAGAGAGAGAGAGAGAGAGAGAGATGAAGGCAAATGCCCTGCTTGCTTTCGCCTTGGTTAAACCTTGCTGGAAGACCCTTACATGCATGCCTAGAATGTTCTGGGAGGTTCAAAATCTAGTGAACAGTGGCGATTCACCACCACACTTTTACCTTTGTAAAATAGAGACTTGCAGCATGAGGTCACCCCAAGTTAAAAGGGAGACAGTCCATAGAAAGAGTGTGGTGTCTTGGATACCATATGGTGACCAGGACATTAGCACCCAGAATATTTTAGCTCCATAGAAAAGGGAGCCCCCAAACAGAAGCCAACATTATTGACATTGTCATCTTTTTCTTCTTATCTGCCCATGGAAGAAAGGACAAATTGTAGGAGCCTAAGCACTCAGGTCACCAAGGAGAATAGCCTGATGCCCACCATCATCTCTGAAAATGACCTCCTTGCAGGGAGCTGTGGTTTAGCTAAAAACAAAGCCAAACCTGGTTTGAGAGCCACACAGGTTGTCTCCTTTTACTGTGAAGAAAGGAAATGTGAGCTGCCTGCACGGGGTCTTTTCCTCTTTTCATTTGCATGCGTGTCTAGTGTGTACGTGTGACATGTTCTCAAAAGTTGGCATGTGTGGATACAGGCTCATGTGTATGTCTGTGCATATATGTGGAAACCAAAGGCTGGAGGGGATCTTGTTTTCTCTTCCACCTTATCTTTTTTTAATTTCTTATTTCATTTTTATTTGAAAATATAGTTTTTCATATAGTTTATTCTAATCACAGTTTCTCCTTCCTCACGTTTTCTAGACCCTCTCCACACCCCCACCCACCAAGTCCACATCCTTTGATTCTCTCTCTCATTTAGAAAACAGACAGGCATTTAAAAAAGAATAAATACAAACAAGTCAGAATAGGACAAAACAAACAAACAGAAAAGGGGGGGGCAAAGAAAAGGCACAGGAAACATATACAGATGCAGAGATATGCACAAACAGATTCCCACACTCAGAAGTCACATAAAAACTCAAGATTTGGAAAACATAATATGTAAGTGAAAGACCTGGACGGTAAAAACAAAAACCAAAACAATATGTCTGGACGAAGCATTATGAGACCCAAAAAAAAATCCTCCAAAAATACCACTAAGTTTGTTTTATTCTGGCCATCCACTGTTGCCATGGGGCCTGTCCTTAAGCGTGGTTTGTATACCCAGTGAGACTTGGTTGGAGAAAACTAATTTTTCCTTTGTGGATGACTATCAATTGGAGATTGCTTCTGACTTAAGGGTGGGCTTGTGCTCACTTCTTCTTTCAGTTCTGGCTCCATCTGGCTTAAACCAGTGCAGGCCCCGTGTATGCTCCCCGTCTCTGTGAGTTCCTATGCGCATTGGTCCTGTTGTGTTTAGAAGGTCTTGTTTCCGTGGTGTCTTCCATCCCCACTGACGCTTACAATCTTTAGAAAACAAGCAGGCATTTAAAAAAGAATAAATACAAACAAAACAAACAGATGATGGCCGAGCAGGACAATGATCTATGAGTGTAACAGCTTTATTCTCTGCAGCAGGTTAATGGTATCAAACTCAGAGCTCCCAGACATGGTTAGTTTCTTTAGCTAGTTTGCTCTGGGCATTCTCTTCTGAGGCTAGAACTTGTTGTGTGACAAGACTTTTCCTGGGGAGATAAAACACACACATCTACTCACCCCAGATAGAGAGCCTATGAAAAACCAAAATACAGATACCACCAAAGTCCAGCTTGGTGAACCAATGAGTTTTACTGTGGTTACTTACAGGAGCAGAGAGGTGTGCCCAGGCTGGCTTTGAGCTGACTATAGCTGAGGATGACCTTGAACTCTTGATTCTCCCCCCCCATACCTCCCAAGTGCTGGGATTACATACAAATGTCACCTTTCTCAACTCTGAAGCTATTTTCCTTGTGAGATCTTGGACAAAAGACATAATCTCTCTGACCTGCATTTTTCTCATACACAAGTTGCTGTGATGGGCTAGTACAGGGCGGACCACACAGGTAATCTTCAAGTGTATTTCCTTCACATTTGTGATCTTAAAAAGCAGATTATTCTATTCTCTGAATAAAAAACAGAGGTCATACTAGTTGACTCAATATACTGTGCCAGTAGGAAGCTTAGCTACTCAGACCAAGAGCTTTCTCTATCCAGTGCCCCAAATTACAGACATGTTATTTGTTGGGAACTTCTGCCTGGAATTATAATTTTCCAAACCCAGACCCACAGTGCATTAGAGACAGCTGTACTTTAAGGGAGAGACAAGTGTCTTCATCCTATTTCTGCAATAAGCTAGTTCCCCCTCCCCGCCTCTGACAAATCATTTACCACTTAACCTGTATCTCTTACTCTACATCTGCAAATCAAGCCTTTTGATTGCACAGCATCCAAAGGTCCTGTAGCTCCCAGATTCCATGCTCCTTTAGTTTGGATCACATTATACCTTACAATGTTTGACCGTGCTCTACGTCCCAGCCACAGGGTCCTGCTCCACGCCCTCTACTTAGGTTAGTGGCTCCGTCTAAACAGAGACTGGGCTAACAGAATGCTAGGGCTTCACCTTCTGCTTACTCAGAGATCAGATGAGGCCGTGTGTGCCGGGAGCAAATGGATCCACTGCGAAGATAAGATTTTACCGTGAAGATGAGATTTCTGATGCGCTTAAAGCAGTGCAAACACTCTAAAGACCAATTTTGGCTTCGGATACCGATGAATTAAAAGCACGGATTCAACCTCCCACACATCCTCAGTGGCTGAGAGGAATGTCCCTAAATGCTTCAACCGAGTCCCTCTCTCACTAGAAACATTTTGTTCCAAACGGAAAACAAAATGGGGGCACAAGCATAGCCGCTATAATCAAACCAGGACTGGGGCTTTGTCATTCTCAACTAAGATCTAACAAACTGGGCATGTGATTCACCACGCCAGTTGCTTCAGCGTGCTTTCTACCCAGTAGACCAGGAGCTTTCCAAAGGCAGAGACAACACTTCATTCATGTATGGAACAGGGACATGTACACTGTAGGTGCTTATATACTTTTCTAGGAATATGATGGCAAAATACCTCAGACTGGGTAGCTTAATACATTTATCTTCTCACAGGAAAAAGAAGACTAAAGTCTGAGATGAAGATGTCGCAGGATTGATGTCCCCTGAGTCTTCTTTCTGTGACTTGCTGGTAGAGGTCTTCTCTCTGTTCCTAGTCACAGTCTCCTTTGTGAGCCTGTCAGAATTTCACCATTTTATAAGGTCACAGTAGCCAGGTGGGTTAGGAGCCAGCTCTATTCATTTCATTAAGGGTCTCGTTAAACACCCTGTCTCTAACCAGCCATGCTCTAAACCACTCAGGGCTAGGTGTTTTTTTATAGGAATCCTGGCAGCGGGAGTGGTGTGAAGCCGTAGTTCAGCAGTCATGTTGCTTAGGACAGTAAGCGTCATGTGAATGATGGTGGTGTAAGAAAGGATGGGTAGAGAGATAAACAGCCAGGTTACCAACAGACATTTCATTAATTGAGGGAATCTGTAGGCTAAGTGATAATATATAAAACTACACTAGTGGAGATATTGCATGTAGGTGGGCACATATGTGATTGTATGTGTACATTCATGTGTTTAGTAACATCTCAGGGGTTTTAAATTACAATTTCAGTCCAGACAAAGCATGACCAAAGTCTATCAAGCTGACAGAAAACTAGTCACACTCTGACTCACCGATGGCATTTCCCTGTCCTGATCATTTCCACCTGTAATGACTTCCTGTAGCTCAAGTATTGTCTACTTTCCCACAGACACCTACATTCTTAGAACCCTCACATTACAGCAAGAATACAGTTTTAGGTAGACTCATTGCCTGGCATTTTATTGTTTATTTGCTTTTAACGGAAGCTTGTCAATATTTAGTTTCTAGGTTGCCTTAGTATGCTGACTCTGCTCTACAACCTTTGTCCTTATGGAGGGTTGGAAAGATGGTTCAGTACTTAAAGCAACACGAGCAAGAGAACCAAAGTTCAGATCCCTGGAACCCATGGAAATGATGGCTGGGTGACATGGCAGCCTGCTTGTAATTCCAGATTCAGAAGGCTGGCACAGAGATCCCTGCAGCAAGCTGGCTAGTGAGACTAGCCCAGCCTAGAGTTCTGATTTGGATTAAACCTGCCTCAAAGAAAAAAGTGAAGAGTAATTGAGGGAGACTTCCAATATCAATCCCAAGCCTTCACATGTACATGGGCATTTACATGTGTACATACAGGTACAAACATACATACATGCATAGACATAGCACATACATGCACATGAAATGGAAACCCCTATGGAATTAGAGGGGAGAAGAAAAATGTCCACCGGAAATGTCAGTGAATCTCCTTTTGATGTATGTCTTGAAACTGAAATTCAGAAGCCAGTTCTCCTCACTAACATTTCTTGTGTATTTTCTCATGTAGCTAGAGCATAGACATGGTCATGGGTAAACTATCAGGGTGAGGGTGGACATGTGTGCAGACAGGGGGCAGAGAGGCCCGGTGCTCCTTCACATGCCCTATGACACCCATGTCATCTTGCTGGCTATGACTCAGGTTGTCTTCGTGCCAGCCTACATCACGACACTGAGTGATGTCCAAGGTCAAGCTTGGCCCTGAATGCAGAAACACAGCTAATGTGAGACTCATCCACTCACCAGTACCACGAAGTCTGGTGGGCACAAATTCATTCATTCCTTGCTTATCCATCTGCTCCTGGAAAATTATTTCACAGACAAGCCAGGGAAGAAGTGGCCCTTGTGATGGTTTTTTTGAAGTTTCATTATAATATATACTGTTCTGTACTCAAAAACAAAGAGATAAATGGATAGTGTGAGCTCTACTGTCTAAGATGAGTACTAGATATTAATATTTAAAGACAAATTTATTGTGGTCCTCTGTCAGTGACAGTGATGAATTGCTGTAACTTTGACCTCTGGGCAGATCGGCTGCCATAAGGCTTGGGAACACCCTCTGTTGTCTTCCCCTGGGACTTTCTGAGATGAGGACCTGCATCTCCATGGATGCCATTAGGCAAGATGCTATTGACTGAGATACATGCGTTTAAGGGAACCGGCTGAAGAGTTCTGTGTTTCTCCCAAATGCAGAGGGATTTGTTTTCCTCCATCCCCACACACCTAGACATTTGTACCGGAGATTGATCAAATACATTTGTTCTATAAAACTTCTTGTCAGGGATTCAAACCAAGTGATTTCTGACCCTTCTTTGTCTGTCTGTCTTTTGAAAATATGTTTCAACTGTCCTATTTCAGACATGTTTTATTGTGAACCATTTCACTTTCTTCCTGAGAAAAAAGGCACTATATAAATCGCACTGGAAGACAGCCCCCCAAACCAACGTGGTATTCATAGAGCAGGAGGTGAAGCGAGGGCTGGCCTCCCTCAGGCCCACCTGACTGGGCGCACCTGTCATTCCCTGCTAGGATCTGTGCTTTGTGAAGGAGCAACTATGCAGAGGTGAGGCCAGCCCTGCCAGGAGCATCTCATTTCTTCAGGCTGTTTCTGTTGATAGTTTCACGTGACAGAGGGACATGGGTGCCATGGCGAGGGCTGCTGTCTGGACCGTTTCTTGGCCATCTAGATGATTATTAGAGTAGAGGTGACTGGCATCTAGACTGAATAGGGATTGTCATCCCATAACTTGCAGGGTTGGTGAAGGGAATATGAACAGTGTTCTGTTCTCAAGACTGTAAGGGAGTATAGCTCCACAAATCCACCGAAAAGAAAGTGATTGGAAGGCTAAACTCTGTGGAGGTTAATGCTTACCACAGGATCATGGAGAAACCAGGACTTGGGCCTTGTTCTCACAAACATGCAAATCTCACCTTCCACACTGAATCACGCATGGTTAGACCAACCATAATGGTTCCTGACAGTGAGATGAGGTAGTGCACAGAAAATCCCCAACACAGAACGCAGGGTGTGGTGAATGCTCAGCAAAGGTTAGTCATTAGTGGGAATGCGTAAGTTATGAGGCCGGATGCTCTGAGAGACCTTGGCCGGTGACTTCAATCATATAGAACTTCATTCTAGAAAGCTCCATGTAATTTATTCTGCCTATCCATTCATGCATAATTCTGGAGAGAAAGGTAGCCAAAGAAATCGTTATGTCCATATGACAGTCACTAAGGCCAAAAGAAGGACTCTGCTGTCAAGAGCAGATACAGAGGAGAGATGCAAAGTCATGGAACTGGAAGGCTGGGGTGAGGTAGCACATACAAATAGCACTAAGAGCCACCGGCAGATGCTCAAGATAAGCAAAAGAATAAGAGACGCAGTGGCCTCCTGTTTGAGCAGACGACACAGCTAATTTAGAGATGACACAGTGATAGCAGATTTTCTCAGTTCTTACTTGGTTTTCATCTTCTCTATAAAGAACAATCTTCAGCCAGCAAGGAGAGCAAAACCCCAGCCAAGAGGAAATGAAAGTCTGAGACAGGGCAGCAATGGGGAGAGGGCACCTGGCCGTGGTACCTCAGTCTCCAGGCTTGAATGAATGACATCCCACAGCAGTCTTTATTCTGAACATGTACCCAGATACTGCAATAAGAGAAACAAACAACAGCCAGAGCCAGAGCCAGGGCCAGAGAGAGAGAGTCCAAGGTCCCTGTAAGAACAAGAAATCATGACAGCAATTTCAAACTGTCCTGGAAAAGCAAAGATTTCACTTTTGCATTTCTGGTCTCTTGTTGGCCATAGCCAATTCTTTAAGCCCTGGTTGACCAGAACAGCCAGATTCTTAATTCAAACTATTGAACAGCCCCAGTAGAGTCTTTAAGGGGGGCTCAAACTTCTTTCTGAACTGCACAAGCCACATCTCCATTGTCTGACTGCTCTCAGCATTGTCTTCCAAGTAGCTCATTAAGCTCTCAATACTCAATGGCTTTCCTATCCCAAAGTTTCAAACTCTCTCCCCAATCCTCCCCAAAATAAGATGGCTGGGTCTGCCATAGCAATACCAATTTCTGTCTTCAATGGTGTTTCTATTGATAAGGCACCACGATCAAAAGCAACTTGTGGAGGAATGGGATTATTTCAGCTTACAACTAACTCTTAGTTCACACTCCATCACTGAGGGAAGTTGAGACAGGAACTCATGGCAGGAACTAAAGCAGAAGCCATGGAGGAAATCTCCTTAGTAGCTTGTTCCCCATTGCTTGTTCCCTATGGTTTGCTTAGCCTGCTTTCTTATACTATCTAGGACCATGGGACAGGGAGTGGTACCACCCACAGTGTGTTGAGTCTTCCCAATTCAATTTTTAATCAAGGAAATGCCCTACAGACTTACCTACAGGCAAGCTATGGAGGCATTTTCTCAATTGAGAGTCCTGTTCCCAGACAACTAATTCGTGTCAAGTTGACAAAAAACTAGCCAGGACACTAATATCACCTGGTAATACTGGCAAGATGATGACACATGAAAACTAGAGAAGTGTGGTATAATCCCAGAAACATTCAGACACAAATGTCTCAGTTTTATCAGTAGAAACTTCTAGCCTGGTGTGGTGGTGCTACCTTCCATCTCAGCACTTGGGAGACAGTCAAAGTCAGGCAGATCTCTAACTTTGAAGCCAACTTGATCTACAGTGAGTTCTAGGCCTGCCTGGACTACACAGAGAGACTCTATCTCAAAACAACAAAACAAAACTTCTGGTAAAATTCTAGCATAGAAGAGATACTTCTGTGGACCCAGGAAGATAAACACTGTGTGCCAAGCTCATGTCAGATGGTACCTGTGTTCCATAGCCACTGTCTAGTCTGGAAATAGTATAGACAAGACTACACAGTCTCGGTGAGGCAGGCATGGATACACAGGCTCCATGGCAGCATCACTGAAGACACCCATGGCAACTGCAAGGACAGTGACCAAAGATTGGAGACAGCATTTGTCTGTGGAAGGAACTTAGTAGCACATAACTCAGTTATGAATACCTGTCTTCCAGAGGGCAGAGGTGACTCGGAGGGAAAAGGAAGTTTGCTGACATCTGCTGGGTGAAAGACCAGGAAACAGCTGCTCAGATGGAAGGTGTGACTTCAAGCTATGGAACCCAAGCAGAGACGAATCTCAGTTCTACCACTTACTGGACATGGTGGTAGAGAACTTCTCAGTGTATGTAAAATTATATATATGCCAGTGTATTTGCATAAATCATACACATAGTTTAAATGAGGTTATGCCACTTGGAGGCAACAGTGTCACCCTAAAAGCCATAGACTAGCCAACAAGAATTTCAGTGCCAGGCACGGGAAGCCTCCCTTCAAGTTATTGGTCAGTAGAGTCCAAGAGACTTCCAAAACAACATAGGCTATTGCATTGCCCTTGGTTGCTTCCCAGAAATTGAAGGTATGATCCTGTCATTGAAAACACCACAATCTGGACAGAGGACTCGGAGGTCTTGTGCTGGAATTCCTCCCTGAGGGTTAGCTCTCACAGTACTGAACTACAAGGAGATATGCTAGCTGCCAAGAGAGGAAAGCAGTCAGTAGTCCTACCCAGATTGATGCCTCCGAACCACAACACTGACCAGGATGGCAAAATATCCCAAAAGGTGCAACAAACGGGACTTCTATCCTGGCAGTAACCAACACCTGTCTGGCTGGACCTAAGGCTAACCATGCCTGGTACTAGAAACCCAGTTCACTACTATATAGCTTACAGGTTAGGATCACAGTCTATCACTTAGGGAATTCAGGCCAGAACTCAACGTAGGAGTCTGGAGGCAGGAACTGACACAGAGACCACAGAGAAAGCTGCTTCCTGGCTTGCTCCTCAAGATCACTTTGCTTGCTTTCTTCAATAACCCAGGACCACCTGCCCATGGGTGGCACCACCCAAAGCTGGCTGGACTCTCCCACATTGATTCCATTAATCAAAAAAGTGTCCCCACTGACTGGCCCACAAGATAATCTGATGGAGACATTTTTCCAACTAAGATTCCTACTTCCCAGAGATTGTCTAGGTTTGCGTCAAGCAGACAAAGTCTTCGCAATACAAAGGGCTTGCTGTCAAGCTTGATGGCTGGAGCTCAGTCCTTGACAGCACATGGCAGAGGAGAGAAGTGACTCTTGTAAATTGTTCTCTGAGCTCTACCCATAGGCCATGCTCCCCTATACACATCCCACACTACATAAATAAGACATTTTAAAGGAAGACATAAAAATGGCAATGAGTATGTGAAAAGGTGCTCAGCATGACTAATCATCAGGGAGTTCCTAAAGCTAAAAATAGAATCACCTCATGATTCATCAGTCTCTCTATAGCTATGGACCCTCCCCAAAGGAAATCACTAATTTACAAAGATGTTTGCATTAGGTGTTCATTAATCGGTATTCCCAACAGCCTAGATATGGACACAACTGACATGCCCATCAACAGATGAGTTGTGGTGTACGGCTGCATGTGGTGGGATGCCCCCTAGAATTCAGGAGGCTGAGGTGGGCAGATCTCAGAAGCATCTAGGCTACTTATTGAGAACCCCACTATCCACCAAAAAGGAAATTGTGGTATCATAGTGTGTGTGTGTGTGTGTGTGTGTGTGTGTGTGTGTGAGAGAGAGAGAGAGAGAGAGAGAGAGAGAGAGAGAGAGAGAGAGAGAGAGAGAGAGACTTATCCCTTCCCACCTCAAATCTGTTGACACAGGTCTTATAAGCTGAAGACTTGGTTGAGCTGAATTTGAAGGACAGTCTAGAAATCAGAGTTAATATTAGCAATAATGTCAGCCAATATTTATTCAGTGCCTATTGTATGCCAAACTCTTTTACATGCCTTAGCTCACTAATCATCACAAAACCATGGTTATGGAAGCAAGTCAAGTGGCCAGAGGCAGATAATGGATAAACAAAATACGGTGAACATGTATGATGGACTACTGTTCAACCTTAAAAAGGAAAGAAATACTAACATATGCTAAAGCATGAATGAATCTTCAAGATACTCTCACAAAAGCTATAGGCTGCCACTTACACAAAGGACTCCTAGGAGACAAAATCATACAGACAGGGAGGACAGTAGTTTCCAGGGGCTATAGAGAGGGATGGTTGGAGAGCTACTGTTTAGTGATCATGCTGTTAGTTTTGCAAGGTGAAAAGTTGCAATGATGGGTGATAATGACTGTGCCACATTATGGGTTATCACTGAACTTCACAGATAAAATTGGTTAATATGGTTAACTGGTTAATTTGTGTGTGTGGTTTTTTTTTGTGGTAAGCTGTCTTTGTGGGGCTATAGACAGTGTGAGCCAACTTGCCTGGCTGAACCTCAGAGGAGGAGTGTAGATTGAGAAAGGGTAGGTAAAGACATTAAGAGAAACAGTGACATAGGACAGAGTCAGGAGGACAACTCAGTGAACACTGACCGCCTCTAGTTTATTCGGGTGGGGGGAGTGGGGAGGGCATGACAGAAGACTTCTATTATTATGAATAAGGAGCAAACAGATTTACTTCCCTTAATCCTCCAGGCATTCAGCTGAGCTTCAGGGTCAAGAGTAAACACACCTGAGCCCAAGTCTGTTGTTATTTGGATAAGACATCCTGCAGTAACCAAGTGTTAGGCCTTTAGGTCTTTAGACTTACTAAGGACAGTTTTGAACTCTCCGACCTTGAGGCAAGATGAAGTGGTCCCATCTTTATGGGCCCCAACAGTTTTTTAAAATCAGAAATTCAAAAACCAGGAAAACTTTACAAACTAGACAATTATTACATTAATTTTCTTTTTTATATTTTCTTATTTTTTGAAATTATACTATAATCACCATATTTTCTCTTCTCTTTCTTCCCTCCAGCCCCTTCCATGCAACCTTTGCTCTCAAGTTCATGACCTCTTTTTTCCTTTATTGGTTTCATATAATAAATATTCCTAAATACATGACTACAATCTCCTCAGTCCATATCATGTTACCGGGATGTACATGATCTTGGGGCTGACCACTTGGTATTGATTAGATAGTCCTTTGGAAGGATTCTTCTCTGAAGAACACTTCTGCTCCCAGGATACCCTAGTTATGTGCGATTCTTTGATTTGGGTTGAGGCCCTGCAAATTTTCCACCTTCCAGATTACCATGTCCATTGTTCAGGTCTTGTTTAGACAGCCATGTTGGTGAGACTTCTTGGGGGTAGCCTCACAGACACTTCTAGGAGACACAAGCTCACAGTTAGCTTCTTATTCCTCTGATTTTTATCATCTGTCTCCTTTTACACAAGGGCCCCAGCCTTGGGTGTGGGAATTGTGTTGTGGATATATCAGTTGGGGGCTGAGCACCACGTGATCACTTGATCTCTGCATTTCAATGGGTTGTGGTTTTCTGTAATGACCCCTAACACCAGACATGAGACAGCTCCTTTCGAGTTCTAGGTCAGGGTTGTCCAATAGATTCCTAAAACATTGTTGGCTATTGTTGCCCTTGGTTGCTGTCCAGGAGTAGAAGATAAATCTCTATTGCTGAAGATACCATGCACTTTGGAGAGGACCGAGCTTGGATCCGACCTGAAAGCCTCCTCCCCGAGGACTAGCTTTCACGGTGTCAGAAGGCAGAATGCAAGCTTCCAAGGGAAGGAAGCAACCAACAGTCCTAAGCAGCTATGATGCTGTGAACCACAGCAATGACCAGCATGGCGCTGCAATAACCCTAGGAATGCGGTAGTGACATACATACTTGCTGGTGGCTGACAGTTTCTATTTGGACTTCAGGCTGGATCAAACAGAGGGAAACCCAGCCAACTACCCAGGGCTAGTGAACTCATGAAAGGAAAAGCTAGAGCAGCCACGCTACTAACCCAGCATAACTGACGATCTAAATATGTATCCTTACACCCCCATGGCGTCGCGGAAACTTCTCCTTACCTTTATTTCATAGAAAAGGAAGTGGAGGTCCAGAGGCTACAGTGCTGCTCAAGGTCATGCAGAGGGCACCTGTGGAAGCAGAACTCACCTGCACCACCCATCAGTAGACCTTGAGCATTCAAGTCCTGCACATGCCCACCTCCCTTCAGAGGCCTGATGCAACCCTGCCACATGGTGATGGGTCGGTGGGGTAACACTCGCTAAGGCATTTTCTGTGCTGTAACACTGAGATTTCACACTTCCTTCCAACCTTAGGGATTGGTGGGTTTCGTTTAGCTGAACAAAACTGCTATGAGAATGAGTCGCTTGTCAGGGCTGGAAAAGTAGCCCAGGGGCCTTCACTAAGGAAAATGAATACGAAGCACACATTGAGAAATTGCAGCCGGCAGGTGAGGCCTCGTGACAACAACCTTTAAGGAACTAGTATCTGTTCACTTGACAAATATTTATTAGATGCTCTCTACATGCATTTATTGGTCTAGATGCTTAGTGTGCTGTAGTGAATTACACCGCCATAGATCCCTGCTTTATGTCAGGTGAAGGAGAGAGAAAATAACCAGGAAAACGTGATAACCAGGTGAGCTATGTATTACATTCTAGCAGGCAGGGAGGACTTGACCACTGCAGTTTGAAATTGTGTCAGCATGAGAGGCCTCACGGAGGAGGTGACATCTAAGCAAAGAACTCCTAGGGGCAAAGGAGGTAGCCATACCTGGAGGGCGAGCATGTCAGGTCCAGGAATCTACCGGCACAGACGCCTAGTCCAAGAGTCAGCAGGGAGCTGTGGCAAAGAGGTAATGGACTAGGACAGTGCCAGGGGGAGGAAGCGAGGTGCAAAGAGGGACTAAAGGCCTTTCAAGCCTGAGACGGGCTCCTCACTGAGTAGTAAACTATAGCAGGATTTTAAGCAGGGAAACAATATGAATTGATTTACATGGAGTATATTTAAACACACTGTATTCACTTGGAAATGTATTTTATCACTGACACCACGGCCCACAGGAAATGACGCTTACCTCCAGGCAAATGTCATTATTACATTCAGAGAGCCCACCACGCTCACAGAAGAAGTGGGAGGGGGGGCTTGCTGAGTAAAAATAGTTATGTCCTTTAGTTCAAAGAGCCTCTGGGAGGAATAGCTAATAACAATAGCTGTAAAGGTCACTGCAAATATTAAGTGCCATCAAATTCTAACTACTACTTAAAAATAAAAAGCCTGCCATTATTCATTGGCCCAAGAGTCAGGACTGTTGGCAGCCTGCATGCCTTGGTCAGCCTTTCCGGGCCTTGGTGACGTTAAAGAATTGTTCCAATGCTGCACCTTCTATCCACAGCTCTGATGGAAGGGACCTTTTCCCAGGTGTCCTCTGCAGCAAACCACAGTCCCGAGGGCAGGGCTGAGGAGAATTTGTTTTCTGTCTTGTTTTGTAAAAATCATCAACTCTGAAACGGTGTTTCTAAGACTCCCTCGGAACCGGCACATTTGCATGGACAGCACGGGCATCCATGTAGGAAGCACTTGCTACAGAGCTGTTTACACCAAGTCACACGGTCATGGAAAGTTTGCTGGAGATTTGTTTGTATGGGAATTACACTGGAACACTGGCTGCTGGTGGCAGCTTTGAAATACAATGAAAAGCTATTGTTCTTACAGGGGATCCGCTGGTGTCTGCATACACTGAAGACAGCCTTCCTCTTTAGAAATAACTTCCAGCTATTCTCTATATATTTTTAAAACTGTTGTTGGTGTACTCAGTGTTCTAGATGCCTGGAGAGAAGAACTACATAACGACTATATTTCAGTTTTCCTCCAAAAAAGACTAAGTTTCTCTGTTTTGGCAATTTGGTCCTGAATGTTAATGACAACAAATAAGAGAAGGAGAGTTGACTGCCTGAATATGCCCAAGTGCCAAGTTCTGGGTTTGGAGGATGACAGTGCAAATTATTTTGAAAATGAGGAGCTGCGCTTCAGAGATTACTGTCTGCAGTTGTTTAATTCCTATCAGAGCTGGGATTTGAACTTAATTCCAGTGACTAAACTCACCAGGCAGCACTGGGCTGAGAAGACTGTCACCTGGTGGCTAAACTAAGCCTTGCACAGATGGTGCTGGCCCACTGCAGGGACTCCTGGACAGAATGGTGTTCTGTAATCTGCAGGACATGGCTTGGCATCGGACAAGTCCAGAAGCTGTGATCAGAAAGCCCTAGGAACATCAGGTTTGGTGGTTCATGCCTAGAACCCCAGCCCTTGGGATCTGGGGCAAGTGGACTGCTGTGCAATGTAAGTCAGCCTGGGCTATGGGGTGTGACTCTGTCTCAAAAATAAAATCAATGAATTCACTGAAAAAAAAAAAAGAATTCCTAAGACACCGAAGAAAAAGAAAATCAGAGGCCACAACTGCCGCTCCCAGGCTGAGAATGAAAGCAAGTCCAAAGGTGATTTATTACCCGCTAGCATTTTAGGGGACTCAGTTTCTGGGACACCCAGCCCATTTCCTCCCAGCAGAGCCACACACCCTGGGACCTGGATGCTTAGCTCTAATCTCTCATTCTGCTTTGTGGTTCTGCCCTGGGAGTCTGGCCTGCCAACTCCCTCGCAGGCTCTCTGCCACGGAGAGCTGAGCAGAGAAGAAAGGTTGGGGAGGGGAGAAAGGCCCCATTTTCTTCCTGTTTGCTTGGTTGTGCTTTATTTGCCTGGGCCTCCACAGGCCTTCTTCTCCACCCTGGCCATAATAGCTTCTACTTCAGGAACTGTAATGTATTCTAAACCTGCAGAGTGGCCACCGTGAAAGAATGCACCGTGTTAATAACTCTGGCCTCTTCCAGTGTTTCTCCAACCTCAGAGCTGGTAATATTTCCTCTGGCAACTAGAACCATGTTATTTACCACACTGTTTGCCCTTTGGTTCTTCAGTGTTTTCTTAATAATTTATGTTAAATTCTCCCCGTTAAAATAACCAATGTGGTTTCTGTTGCCCAACTTATATGCAGTTAATTCTGTTATGGACTTAAATTACAGCAAATTAGAAATCTTTTTAGTATAAGCTAAGGTCCAAGGCCATGTTTAGAATTAGGGATATCTAGCTTGTCCTTATACACACATGAGGCTGATGGCTTTGAGAATGTCAAACTGGCTTTGCCTCCACCTGGTTAAAACCATACACTGACTGGTTCTCCTTAGAATGATGAAGTCCAAACCCCCGGCACTAGGTCCTTCCTCCCTTACAGTCTCCTTACCGACTACAGCCATCCTCCCAACCATGCCTTCTTTGGACCAACCACTCAGTTTTCCACGCCTTGTGCTTTTGCTCAACTTTCTGCTTAATATTCATCCTCCAAAGTCCATCTCAGATGTTACCCCTTCTTCTTTGTTTTTTTTTTTTTTTTTTTTTTTTTGTTTTACGAGACAGGGTTTCTCTGTATTATTTTGGAGGCTGCCAGTCCAGCCTGGCCTTGAATTCACAGAGATCCACCTGCCTCTGCCTCCCGAGTGCTGGGATTAAAGGCGTGTGCCACCACCACCCGGCCAGATGTTACCCCTTCTAAGAATCTTTTTCTGTTTCTACTCTAACAGCTAAACATTCCCAACTCTACCCTCTGTGGACCCAAGTGTAAATATCTTCTCTTCCAGACTATGAGCTCCTTGAGACCAAGCTCAGCATCACAGTTCATCACTGTCTTAGCTGGGCACTCTAGTAGGTCCTTCACAATTAATGACTTATAATTACTTGTAATTTTTCCATTGTCTGTTTTTTGGTTATACAATTGATACAAAGAGCTGGGGTTGGGGGGAAACCCTCTGTGTTTAGGAAACTTCGAAACTCACTTTCCTTTCCCCTCCGTTTGGAAGAAACACTTGTCCAAATACGAGGCTGTGTGTATGTCTTTGTATTCGATTACATCCCTAGGAAGTGAGGGCATTATAATTGTCTGAGTGCAGCGCCAAGGAGGGCTGAGATCATCATGAACACAAATCTGCAGATAACAGAGAAGTAAACATGGCCTCTTAGGACCTTGGAGAAAGAAATGTGCTCCCTCTAGTCAGGGAAGACACTATGTTACTGAATCATCCTCTCTTTAAAAATCAATCATTCTTATTTTTAATAGATGGGAGTCTTGCTATGTTACCCAGGCTGGCTTTAAACCCTTGGATTTAAGGCTTCACTCTGTCACAGTTCTCATGTAGTTGGGTGTTCAAGTGCATTCTACTATGCCCATCTGTGAGCATCAAAGTCAAATAAGAGCCCTGATCTTGCAAGAGGGCAAACGATCTAGAACTCAACTCTTTGTCACCAGCTATAGAGATATAGACTCTTAGCACTCCCAATTGCTGTACCACCAGGTGCTTCATCCTGTGATGCCTCCTCAAAGACCAAAGCTGCCCAAAGAACTCATATGGCTACAGCAACTTGTGGGAACCCGGAGGCGAAGGGCAGGCAGTATAATCCCTGTGTGGCCAACATCGTGGAAGGGTGACTAGAAAGAACAGAGTGGAGAAGAAGAAAAAGAGGAGGAGGAGGAAGAGAAGGGGAGGAGGGAAGAAGAGGAGGAGGGAAGAAGAGGAGGAGGGAAGGAGAGAAGGAGGGAATAAGAAGAGGAGGGAAGAGGAGGAGGAGGGAAGAAGAGGAGGAGGAGGGAAGAAGAGGAGGAGGGAAGGAGAGAAGGAGGGAAGAAGGGGAGGAGGGAAGAGGAGGAGGAGGGAAGAGGAGGAGGGGCAGTGGCTCAGCAGCACCATAATGTCCTTTGGGCCTATCATCCACTTCTTGTTCTAATAGGCAGAATGTCTGCTCTTGCATGGACGAGAAAATGGGGCAGTGTTGTCAGAAGTAACTGACCTCTTTAAGACAGGGGTGTGTTTGACGAGGGAGGACTCTCCCGGATCTTACTGCAAATGAATGATCACCCGACTCAATCCCTGGAACCTTGCCATCTACTGGTTTCTGGAACTCTGTTTTCAAGAATCTCTGCAGAGAACTGCATGCCTTTTGGTTGTTGTTAGCATCCTAATACCGAAACTTTCCGAGACCCTGGCCAACTGTGAAAATCAACTTGACAGATAAGCCTTAGATT